ACAGTCAGGCTCCTTGCCTCCAGAACTGAAAGATAGTGATAATATAAGAAAAATCTGCAGAGAGCGCAGATCCCCTCTTCAGGGATTTCCTTCCCCAAAATTTTTATATATTATGAAACACAGCTCCATGTTGACTGAATCATTCCCAATTGCATCTACCACAGCTGCTCAGAAGAAGACATAATATCATCCAACAGTTAACATGCTTAGCATCTCAACATCTGGAAATGCAGACAGCAAACAGGAAGAGCCAGCCTGCCAACCACCACTCTGATCATTCAAGCCCTGTGTGAGGCAATATGAGTGGTGGATTAAGCTCCAGAGCTTTATTTCTTAGCTTCAGCAATACAGGCTCAAATTTTGCTACTGTGAGCAGGAAGATGACTTGCGTGACCACGCTTTGGCCCATGTGTTAGGCAGCTTTATCCTTTCAGCTGTAAAATCAAAAAGGAGAAGAAGCAGTGGTGGAAATCTGGCCAGTTTTTCTGAAAGGTGGAAAGGGAATTTGGGACAAAGAAACCTATTTAATTTCTCTGGCCTCCTTAAGCTGCTGACTGGTAGCTACATAACACCAGCTGAATGCAATTAAATATACTGCTTGCCTTTTTTAGTTGTCCAGGTAGGTTCCTGTATATACACAGCACAACTGTGTGAGAGGTACAGAACTGCATAGCACGTGGGGACAATTGTATTGCCTGGCAAGTCACATTCAGTGCTGAAGCACCTCAAACAATATCAGACTCTTTCAGGAAGTCTTCACTTGCATGTCATTTACACTGTCTTTTAAATAATCTGTCGTTTAAGCTGTCTCAGATATGATGCTGTCTCAGATATGATCAGGAAATCAAAACATGAGCACAGGGATGATATCACTGTTGAAACAACATCTGACTCTTCCTGGCTTCAATTACATTTGGTTTTTTTGGATGGATCTTATTTTCACTCTTGTTAGCTGAAAAGGCAGAGGGTCATTTCTATCTTGCTAAAGGACCAAGAGAAGCATCAACAGCTCTAAGACGGGGGGGGGAAATCTAGTGACTGCTCTACTGCCAGCGCAGCATGATGTTGTTACATAGAGGAATATGCACCTCAGAAGGAGATGCTGAGCAGCAAGATGTGCAACCCTTTCTCCCAACACACTTAGAGGCCAAAGCTAAATAAAAACTACGGTGACAGGATGTGTGTTGAGGAAGACAAAGGATATATCACGAAAATGAATGGGATAATGCATTGATTAAATTAAAAATCCTACAATCCGAGAATGATAGAATGGTTTGGGTTAGAGAGGACTTTAGATATCATCAAGCTCCAACCTTCTGCTGTGGTCAGGGACACATTTCACTAGAGGAGCCTGCTCCAAGTCCCATCCAACCTGGCCTTGAACACTTTCAGGAATGGGGCATCGACAGCTTCTCTAGATAGCCTGTGCCAGCATCTCACCACCTCACAGTAAAGAATTTCTTCCTTTTTCATCTAAACCTTCCCTCTTTCAGTTTCACTACCTGCCCTTCTAAGAAGCCCCTCTCCATCTCTCTTAGAGCCTCTTTAGGTACTGGAATGTTGCTCTACGGTATCCCCAGAGCCTTCTCTTCTCCAGGCTGAGTAACTCCAACTCTCTCAGTCCATCTTCATGGGAGAGGCGCTCCAGCCATCTGATCATCTTTGTGGCCTATGCTGGACCTGATCCAACAGGTCCAAGTCCTTCTCATGTTGGGGGCCCCAGAGCTGGGTGCAGCACTCCACGTGGGGTCTCATGAGAGCAGAGTAGAGGGGACAATGGTAATCATGTGATGCTCCCTGTTCACTGTGACAGCACATCATCAGGCAATCATAGGCACATGTGGTCCTTAACCAGGGCTAAGAAACTAATGTGAGGAGTGGGCTTTCCTTCTGCTGAGTGTGAAGTGGTTCAGGCTGCCTGCAAGACTACTTTAGAAAATCTCTCTGTCTCTAATGTAGATTTAGACTGAAAAATTAACTTTGTCTAGAAATACCAGGGCTTCCCTGAATGACAGGAAAACATGTATATGAAGGGTCCCAGTCACTTAAAGGCTTCATTTCTTGTTCTTATATCTCCTTCAGGCTCAAAAGTTTACTGTTTCTTTAGCTTTCTATGCACACAGCTATTTTTAGATTTTGTCTCCTGGAAAATTGAGGAATATCAAAGCATATCAAAGTGCTTTCAAAGGGATATGTGGTCCCTTGAGGGATCTAGACACATTACTAGCAACTTAGCTGTCATGAGCTTTACTTTTCAGAATAAATATGGTGGCTTTCTTTATTAACTACATTTTTACTACGATACTTTCACAGTGAAGAACCCTGGGTTTACCTCCATGAATAGAGATATGCAAGGATATCAAATGAAGAAATGACAGTAAGTGGGAACATGGCATATTATATAAGTGTTGTTAAAGGTTCATGAGAAGATTCCTAACAAGGATGGTCTTAAATCCTTTTGTAAGTAAATAATAATTTTTAAAAATCTATTACTTTATCTGCACCTCAGATTTTGATGGATGTTGCTCACTATTTTGTTAGTAATGTGAATAAGGCAGCAGGATGTTCTCACATCTCTAAAGACATTCCTCTCTTGTGAAATGATGACCCACAAGAAACTCAATATCATTTTCTTTGTCTTTCTCCCCCTGCACACTGAGGAGGTTCCTTGTCAGATGTGCAATCAATAAAAAACATATCTTCAGCCACTAGTAAATTTAGTTTATTAAACACAGGCCTGACAGTTAATTCAATTGCTAACAAAGTCATAGCATGATCAATAAAAAAAGAAAGCAACCTCATAAGTGAAATACTTATATTCTCTAAATGTAAAATCATCAGACAATAGGGTGCATTAGAAACAGACCAAAAAAACCCACATTGGTGAGATTAGACTGTGGCTAATTTTTTCCATTCCCCTGCAGTATTTAAAGTGTATGGTATCTCATGAGAGGCTTCAAGCTTGTCACGTGTTGCTGCTCAGTTCTGATCCTGATAGGTGAAGACCGTGGAAGAAGAGTTTGCCCCTTCCTTGCAATTATGTTTCTGCTCTATCTGCACAGGTTGCTATCTCAGTTGTATTCGTACTGCAAAACAGTGCTAATATTCCTTTTTTCACCAATGGCATGGGATCAAGCACTGCAGCAGTTCACAGGGCATCATTAAGTCAGCTCTCAGGTATGCTGATGCGTTACTGAAATTAGGATTTGGAGCATGAACTTTAGTGAAGACATGACAAAACTCTGTGTTTACATCAAAGGCAGCATCAAGTGACTGAAATGGATCGAACATAACCCTTAGATAGCCAAGAAAAGTGTGCCTTTCCCAGTGATTTGCCAAGTACTTTTCCACCTGACCAGCAATGATTTGTTTTCTGCATAATTCAAACAGAGCTGAAAATAGCTTGCTGCTGTTATTTTTGTTTGGGAGCAATAACGCTCAGTTTATAGAGTGTTTTTTCCAAAAAAAGCTCAAGGCATTGAGAAGTAACTTCACTGACAGAAACCTTTCTTTGGGTGAATTTCACAGGCAGGGAAGGCTTTCAGTATTTTTGTTAGTTTTCATATGAGACCAACTGCTTTCCTGGAAAATATGACTAAACTTCTTGTCTGTTTTTAGTTAAAGATGAGGTAATTGAAAGCAAAATCTAAATATGGTCAAAGTGAGTTGGGAGTCTGTTTTCATTTAGGCCTGAATTTTAGAAAATGTATTTTAGAAAATATTCAGAGACTTAAAAATACAGGCAGCCATTTGATGAAATTTTGCAAAGTACACATAGGTGTAGCTTCCTGTTGCTTTCTAAAACAGCTTTTCTCCTCCTTCTCTGCTGCCCATCTTTCCTCCTGTTCCTGGCTTAGTTCTTCCTGTTTCATTCATTCATGTTTGATATCTGGGAGGTCTAAACAGCTAGAAGTTAATACTATGAGAAAAGAGATCCATTTCCTCCTGAGAGCAAGCAGGAGGTGAGGGATTAGGCATGTTTTTGGCAGCAGTTTGCTATTCAGGCTGGTTCACCTGTGCAGAGGACCCCATTACCTAACTACCTCTTTGGACCAAAATAGTATTAAAGGTTTGCCTTTGGATCTCTGCATGGGAATTGGGCTGCTGAGCCTCAGCTTTCAGAAAAGCACTGGCAACACTGGGCATAAAAAATAAGTATTAAAATGACCTGGAAGGAATCAACACACACATGAAGAGCTGCAGGATGCAGCCTGGTGCTCTGGGTGCCTGCATCCTGCCCTCGCTGCCAGTAGTCACCTTACCTACAACACCCCATGCTAATGCCATTCCTTTGAAATCATTGTCTCACTTGATAATCAGTGAAATGTTAAGCAAAATACCTTGGTGGCTGGCTCAAAGTGGAAAATATAGAAATTTTAGTACCTTCTGAGAAGCCTGAGGGAGTGCTGAGTCCTGTGTGTCTCTCTGCCTGCTTTTCAAGTCAGCCTCAGCAGAAAGCATTGGGGATGCTTTACGTTCCTTTATGTGCAAACCCTTTGCCAGTGTTTGCAAGGGGAACTGACAGGGAACTATGAATCTCTTGGGAATCACAGCATCTGAACCATGCACCCTTGCACACACCTGGAAGTGGAGCACAGAGAGGTTCAGGCACAGGCACTGAAGTGGTCAGGGGAACAGTTTCCCTTTGAGTCACTGGTTGAGTATTATGAAACAAAATAAAGGGGCTCTGGTAGCAAGGCAATTTCCTTTCAATCCCTTGTCATGAGGAGGGTGAACAGTAGAGGTATCTCTACACTGGTTAAATAGAAGATGACCAAGGATCACACCCAGGCACTTGACCCCTGATCATCCTGACTCAGTTTTGGCCATCCCCAAAGAGCTCTACCCAGAGATTTTTGCTGCAGAGATGCCTGACACTGAGCAGCACAGCTGCAGGCTAGCTAGCAGCACACCACACAGCCTCTATCACTGAATAGTATGAATGTAGTCTAGATATCTCCTCAGAACCATATATATATTATTTTGCAATTCTGCATCAACTACGTGCAGAACAAACTTCTGATTTTTGCTTTGAAATTTTCAGCGGAAAAGTAATAGAGGATGGGATCAAAGCAGCTGTTTGTGGCAGCGAGGCAGAGAGTGACCACCAGTGCTTTGTGCACAGGCAGGCTGGCCTGGCTGCACACACTGTACATCAGGTGGACAGTTCGCAGTATGTGATACGGTAGGAAACAGAGGAGGAAGAGGATGAGAGTGATGATGATGGTTGACAGTGCCTTCTTGTGACAAGCCATCCTCTTGGGCTGCAGATTTCTGCACTTCAGCAACGCTCTGATGGCAAAGACATAGCAGACAACAATTGTACAAAACGGCAGAATGAAGCCCACGATGAGGACAAAGCTGTTCATTATGAAGAGCCTGTACGTGTTAGAGGGGTGTAGATCCAAACATTTGACTGGGGTGCTGTACCCAGCGATTTCCTTGCTCAACAGAGGGCTGGCAGCTGCCAACACGAAGATCCATATGGCTGTGCAAGTTATTCTGGCATACTTCACGTTGGTTACTTTTCCATGTTTGAACGGGTAGGCGATGGCTGTGAAACGAACCACGCTGAGCACGGTAAGAAAATAAATGCTGCAGTACATATTCATGTACAAGGTGTAGGTCATGATCCTGCAGAGGATATCACCAAATATCCACCGCGATCCCAACAGGAAATATGTAGCCCGAAAGGGCAAGGTGCTCACAAACATGAGGTCCGAAATAGCCAAGTTCTTCATGTAAATATTTACCGACGTCCTCTGCGAAGGCTGGAAGAAAACATATATGGAGAGGCCATTTCCAACAGCACCCAGAAAGAAGATAATGAGGTACGTGATGGGATAAATTACTTGTTTCAAGCCATCAATCGAACAGTCGAAGGAGCTGTTAGTGAAGTTGTCATCTAGAGCCATCTTGGAAATATTCATAGGCCGAGCCAGGCTCTCCATTTTTCTGCCAAAGTGAAAAGAAGTGATGTGAGTGCTGTGTTACAGACTGGGCAGGAAGTTTGGCTATTTGGGACTATTTTGCTGAAGGCAGAAATTGCAAGGTGAAGATGACGGTGGGAAGTAAGGGCTAATGAGTAATTACTTGTGCTGTCCCGGTAAATACACATCTAAAGGCACAAAGCCCCAAGTAAGCCCTAAATAGTTTCAGTTTTATAAGCAGCTGATTGTTGCCTCAGCCTATGAAAGTGTTGCCTTTTCAATGTGAATGCTATGTGTGTGTTTGAATGACAAGTCTCTGATCTTTGCTTTGCAAAACAAGCCGACTTGCTGTCAACCACTTTGTGGCAGGGAGATTTTGAGTCTCCAGTCACCTACCATGGAAATATCAAAACCTGATCAGAAAAGAAATCATTGTCCACTGGTAAGTCCGCATTTCAAATTGGAATAGAAAGACAAAAGAACTGAATTTGCCTTTTGGAACTAGTGAAATTTTTCTGGTATGTTTTTGACAGCATTTCCTGAGCAATACCAGAGTTATATTGAAAGACATATATATTAAGGACATTAAACACCATGTAAATACTGCACTAGTTATGTATTGTTCTTTTTTTAACTCCCTCTTCCTTGAACCGTATTTGTTATTTCTTGTTAGCTTCTGATGGCTTTCCATGTCTCTTTCTGTGATACCTTTGTGTCATTTACCACTCCCCTAACCCCTTTTTGTGCTAAACTGTGACCAGACAGTCACCTACACACACTGCAGCTTCCAGGGCAGCCCAGGCTTGCAACCTTAATAAAAATGTCCTCTGAGCATATGGGCTGTATTCAGAGGGAGTGACATTTTTCCTCCTATGAGGATTAATACAATCAAATCAAAACCACTCACCACTAAACCCTCTAAATAATGAATTGTTTTTCTCCTTATTGTCTATTTCCTTGACAATCTCTTGATTCTTTCTCTCAGCTGTTGCGGAGCTAGTAATATTTTCAAAGGAAGGTTTCAGTATTGTTGCTTGTATGATAATGGGAGCCATTCCCTCTTTGCATCTGCCAACATATTCTAAAGATGGGGCATGGAAAATTTTAGCCTAAAAACCACAACTACACGGCATTTCTAGATGCATGGAAAAGAAGCTTTTGATTTGCCTCAGTGAGAGTGATAATGCGTCCACGGTACACAACTGCATTGTATCTCTTACTCTGAACCTCAGTGGCTTCACAATTTGAAACTAATTTAATTGCACAGGTGGTGTTTACTTGGGGGTAAAAGTGGGCTCTAGATTTGGGTGCTCTGGACTCCCAGTTACCCAGTGTGCTGTAAATGGGAGCTAATTTTCAAACTCAAGCCATGATGTGGGAGCCTGAGCTGTGTTAAGAGCAACCTATGGTATCTTTAGGGTGGTGTCTCAGAGTCTTTCTGAATCCCTTAATGTAGCAACCAGATGTGCTCCAGCAGTCACCTTTTATCATGGCAGTCACCACTGAGATGGGGAGCATGAGAAGCACAGCCCCGGGCTGCTCTCCCAAAGAGAAGAGCTTCATGGATATTGAGCCTCAGCAAGGCCCTGGACTGAGTAAGCATGTGCTCCTAAAGGAAATCTTCTCCTCATTTGAGATCCTCTTTTCTCACAGAGGGGAGAGGTAAAATGCTCCTCCTAAGAACAAATGTTTTGCAATCAGAGGACTTTTAATGGGTTTTGGTTTTCTGTACACAATAACTGTCTCATATACATGTGTTCTGGGATCAAAGACCAGCTTTTCTCCTAATGGAACCTGATCTCTCCATTTTGCAGGGAAACATTGCAGCCTGAGGTACTGCAAAGGGAAGAGCCCTTCTGGATGTGTTTTCCTATAGTCCAAGCATACTTGCTTTTAGGAACCCTAAAATACAAGAAAATATTAGTGAAGGGAACTGCCACCTGTTGAAACATTCCTATTATGTGTGAAAGCTGTGAGGTAGAGGAGTCAAATGAGGTTGAAGAACTTGTAGCATGGACAAATTCAAAGTGCTGCTCACCACTGCAAGTGATGGCTTGTGGCCAAATGCTATCTGATGATGGATAGGATAAGGGCAATGCCAATTCAGCTGGTGAAAAGTCCTTGGGTCTCTGCACCCTTCAGAGAGCACTACAAGCACAGGGCCTGAGGCACTCTGCTCAAGCTCTTCGTATGAGGGTATCTAGCTACTTAAAGCTATTTTGTGCTCTAGCTGAACAAGTGCTTCTCAACTCTCCTTTTAGCTAAAGACCTAGACTAAAAGTAGATGTGAATGTGCAATTGGGAAAATTCAGTATCATTGAACTTGGTAAGAAAGTCAGTACTCAGATTCCTCTCCAAGTTATCCAAACAAAAGTTTCAGGCTATCAGGGAATGTCTAAGAGAAAGAGACTGGAGACCAGTCAGTGGGAAGCTCTTAACCACTATGGTGCCTCCCCTCAGTAGAGGACCAGCAATGACCCATGCAGTTATGATATGTAGATACTCCTATTAGCTGTGTTTTAACACACAGATGAATATAGAAAGAAAGATGAAGTGAAAGATATATTTCACACAGGACTATCTCAAGCAACCACAGAAGACAGGGAGAATTTTACCCCACCTTGAATCCAAGAACTGTTATTAGCCAGCTAAGGTTAAGAGATGGCTCCTAGATACACAGAATGACATATCTAAGGACAG